CAGTTGATTGTAGCACTCAAATTCATTTTTAGACGCCATTACACTTACGACACCTCTTTGCGAATATTTGCCAGTGTTTGTCGTCGCAATCTTCAAACCCCTTTTTAACTGTGTAATGTCTTCTCATCTGCTTAAGTTAACGCAAGTGTAAAAAGACATCTGTTTTTTTCACTTAAGTCAGCATAAGTGACATTGGGTAAAAAAAACAAAACAGATGCGATGTGATGTGATGGCATAATTCCAGAAACAGCCATGCTTTTACGATTTCAGCAAAATAAATGATGATGACAATTCCATACTGAACACTGTACTAATCAAATTTTGGTGAGGACTATGGCAAGTGTGTAAGTTCGTATCACCCTCAGAAAGACAAGCATTGTGACATTGAACCATATAAAAAGAAAATTCAAATTACACGATTTTTGTGACAGACGTTCGATTCGTACCTTTCGTGGACCAAATGGAAATAAATTGGGTCTTGACCAAAATGTTTGAAACAATATGGGAAAATTATTCGAGTTTAATTTGTGAAAGACAATTAATTTTTGCTTCAGGTTTAATGTATTAATATCTGCTGGCAATAATTTTGGACCAAATGGAAACAACTCCCTTTTGGCTATGAATCTTGATGAAAATGTTTGAAAAAATATGTAAAAAATTATGTGAGTTTATTTTGTGAAATGTGTCAAAAGTTTGTTATTAACATCTGCCGGCAATAATTTTGTTCCTAGTTCATTAATTTTGCTTGAGTTCAATAACCTGGAAAGGTTAAGTGTTTGCCATGAAACAGTCTGCGTTCTGGCGCAATGTTTTATTGGAACTAAAATCAATAGATTTGTCTGTCTTGTTGACAAATTGAAATGCATGTTTGAGTTTCGTCTTTTAGTACTGTGAAAAATTCGAATATTAAAAGAACAAATGTTTGAAAACAAAAGTACATGTAATATATTGCATTACGTTACATTACAGTAACGAGTACAATACATTACATTTTATTACATTACATTACATTACATTACATTACATTACAATAATTTATATAATTTCATTAAAATTATACAAAATATGATGCATTATGAGAAGGTTAAGTTGTCAAGTAACAGATCTTGGTGCAATAACCATTACCATGGCAACTATCTACAGCGAGGAATGTACTTCAGTCTGTTCTTGGATTTATTGTATGTATGTATGTACCTAGCTGAAAGCAGAGATGCGTCATGCACGTATGTGTGAAACTGATGATCTAAGTAGGAATCGGTTTTTATTCACAGCATGCAAATAGAATCAAACCCTTACGAGAACCACATGCAGAGAAATTTAATTCGTTATAATGTATTCATTGTTAACTTTCACTGTTTTTGATGTATTGATTGTGGTTGTCACGGTAATTGATACTAGTACAAAAAGTGATATATATTTTAATAAAATTGTCTACAATAATCGTTCTGTATCCTGGAGACTGCATGATGGTTGTGTCACGAAGACGACGACATGCGCATACTAGTATTGAGGAGTCATGCTTTGCGATAACAAGGAAATTGATACAACAAATGAGGCATATGGGAAGCAGGATACTGAATTGATTTGGTTGATTTAATGTCTGCATACTGCATTAGTCATCTCTCTAGCGTTTTTTTTTTTTTTTTTAAATTAACAACGTTAATGCTCATGGCTGAACCTATTCATCACCGATTGGTTAATGACCACATATGCGTTGTTGAATTGAAACGATGTTTGTGGTTGGGTAATACTCAATAAGACACCATTGATGATTGGTTAATGACCACATGTGGGCTGTAGACTTGAAACAATGTTTGTGGTTGGATAATACTCAATGAAACACCATTGGTGATTGGTTAATGACCACATGTGGGCTGTAGACTTGAAACAATGTTTGTGGTTGGATAATACTCAATAAAACACCATTGGTGATTGGTTAATGACCACATATGATTTGTTGAATTGAAACAATGTTTGTGGTTGGATAATACTCGATAAAACACCATTGGTGATTGGGTAATGGGTTGTTGATTTGAAACACCGTTTGTGGTTGGATAATATCATTAAAACAGAATTGGTGATTGGTTGATGACGTCATTGGCTCATACAAAATGCGATGTCATTGGCTCATACAAAATGTGATGTCATTGGCTCATTCAAAATGTGATGTCATTGGCTCATACAAAATGCGATGTCATTGGCTCATACAAAATGTGATGTCATTTGCTCATACAAAATGTGATGTCATTGGTTCTTACGGGTTGTGATTTTATCAGTTCATCAGAGGTATGATTTCATTGGTGATGTCATTCATTGGTTCTTATCATGGCTTAGAAAAATCAATATTTATGTATCTGGGATCTTTTCCTGGATATGTGAAATGAGCGATTGTTGCGTGTGTCTGAGTTTGGATATCGTATCACCACGGCAACAAAATCCCTTTGCAGATGGTAAAATGAGCAGTACAAAACATTATACTTTGTAACTATTTGACAGCTAAAGTTTGTAAATAAAACAACTTTGGTAGTTTTTAATATTTTCACCTAAGCCTTTGTGCAATCGTAGATTAAAACTGTAACTGGAATATGTTAATGTTGCAAAATACAAAAATTCAAACTTTCAGACGAAATCTAAATTTTGGGTTCATTTTTATGCATTTTTTTGTGGAGTTTCTTCGTTGATTTATCATTTTCCATATGCTATAGAATTTTGAAAAATGTTGGTGTATGAAATGGTAAAATGTAATGCGAATAGACTTATTGACATGCTCTTGGAACACACATTTTGATGATACAGTGTATCTAAACTAAAAGTAATTAAAACTTTGTACCAATATTGTATCACAATTCTGGCTTTCTGTGTGAATAAATGCATATTAATCACTAATTTGCATATTTAAATCTGAATATGTACATTTATCAGTCAGTTCACAAAATATTGCCAATAATCAATGTCAGAGGCCTTACATTAAATTGAGCAGTCTTTTTACTTTCCATCTTTTTTTTTGTGGATACATTTTGTGACTGGCTGCCATGATTCACACATATTTGTTGTTTTATTACTAAATTTCATTGAATAAACATTTAGAAACATATGTTACAAGCAACTGTTTTGATAATGTTTAGTTTTTGTGTTTGCTTCCATATTTGTTTATCTGTATTCCCCTGCTGCAAATGGTTTCATTTTATTCAATGATGTTTGTATTTATAGTTATATCGTCGTGGAGTGATCAAATCTTGTTCTAAGCTGATTTTATATGTTAATGCATTATGATTGGAATTTGATATACAAGGCTACAATTATTCATTTTTTTAAAATTGACAATGTTTCTGTTTATTCGGTTTTTTTGTGTTTTTTTTTGAATAACTGGGGTAGATTAATCAATGACTGACTGATGGATGGATGGATGGATGAATGAATGAATGATGAATCACTGAATAAATGAGGCAATATTAAAGTAAATTGACAATTGATTGATTGAACTAATAAAGAAATAAATGTTACTAGGTGTGGATTACCGGGGTAGTATTTATGATGAAAGAAAAAAAAATAAGAAAATTTAATTTTTAGATAAAAATTTTAGATTAATGGCATTTTTTTTCATTTTTTTAAATGACAAACCCAATACAGCTAAAAAAATTTCAAATTGGTAGCATCTTCAAATTATCAAATTTTATTAATTTCTATGACAGATAATGCTAATTGTTGATTATTTGAATAAAATAAACAGATCACATGACTATTTTATTCTGATGTATTATTGATTTGATTGGTTATTGTTATTGTAATGTCACACCTGTGGATTATTAGTGTAACAGATGCTTATCGCATAATCACCTGTTGCAGCAACGTTGATACCTCGAAATAATGACTATTTTTTGGTTAAATCTGAATCAAAAATTTATGATGACCTGTTGCTGAGGAGAAAATACATCCAATTGGTTTAACCTTTTTACCACCAGACTTTCTTGCCCAAATTTTTCTGCAATTTTTTTTCATTTATTCTTAAATATTTCTGGAAATGAACTTTAATTTTAGAGCCAACAGACAAAATTTTAGTCAATTTTCAGTTTTTACTCAAAAAAATTTGGCTATTTTTGTCCCAAAGTGCAGACTATAAACAGGACTATTTTGTGAATTTGTGATGAAAAGAGGGTAGTGAAAAGGTTAAAAACAGGCAAGAAAATTTCGGAAATTACATAAAAATTGGCGAAATTATTTTGGCGGGAAAAATAATGATGTTTAGAAGGAGCACAGTTGGAGATCTGTCTGTATGTAATTGTTTTATAAGTTAATTATTGTTACTTTTATTTTAGGATGTCGTTGCATCCTGTATTCGTGATGACGATAAAACATTAGTTTAATAAACCGAAGAAAATTATATAATAAAGAAAAACCTTGACAGATGTTTCATCGGTTTTCACCAATTTTCCAAATTACAGAGCAATTAGGTGATAATTGAACATCCTGTTGTTTCCCAAAGAGCGCTTTAGCAATTTGAGTTTATTGCACCGCACTTTGATAACAAAGAAGTTATGTGGTTAGGCACAGGATATTGTTTTGTTCTTAACGTTTTTCTTGTCAATATTGTGTGAATTGCTTTACTTGTGAATGATTTATTTGTTGCCAGGTCCATACAAAATGTAACTGTAACAGGAAATTTTAGTATTTTCAATCAAAATGGGTGATTCATGCTGGATATGGTTGGAAAATTGTAACCTAATACTAGAAGCTTAAGATGTATTTATTGTTATTTATTTTACTTTCTTCCGTATATTGAAGACGGAGAGAAAATATGATAGGTTTTTGAGAAGTTTTGTCCTCGTTGTTGTCGTCGTCATCTTTAGTACATTGTGGTTACAAATAGCATATTACCAATTATATAATAAATGTCACATGATCAAACGCAGTGTTCTGATTGGTTAAAATGACATGCACATGATCTGTGTATATGGACTGACATTATGTTAATACAGAGATATCATGTCCAATTTTGTTCATTAGTTCCCGTTGGACTGACATGTCTCAAAAATTACTGATTTTGTTCGAAGCTATGAAAAATTCAAGACATAATGGTATACATATTGATTTGTTTTTCATTTTGTTTTTGCCTCAGGTAAATATACTGTAAATTATTAGCATGTGAAATGTCGCTACTTTAAAATAAAGTATATTCTCACAATGAGATTTTTGGCACTTTAGCTAAATTAAGATTCTCTTAATTCATGCATTAACTTTTCACCACCAGACTTTCTTGCCCAAATTTTTTTTATGTTCTAATAAATATTTCTGGAAATGAACCCTAGTTTTGGTGCCAACAGACAAAATTTGGGTAAATTTTCAGTTTTTCTTTAACAAATGTGGCTGTTTTTGTCCCAATCTTCTGAAGGAAAGTGCAGACTATAAACAGGACTATTTTCGAATTTATAATGGAAGAGGGAACTAATGGTGAAATGGTAGAGTAGGCTATTGTCTTAGATGAGTAGGCTATTGTCTTAGATGAGTAGGCTATTGTCTTAGATGAGTAGGCTATTGTCTTAGATGAGTAGGCTATTGTCTTAGATGAGTAGGCTATTGTCTTAGATGAGTAGGCTATTGTCTTAGATGAGTAGGCTATTGTCTTAGATGAGTAGGCTATTGTCTTAGATGAGTAGGCTATTGTCTTAGATGAGTAGGCTATTGTCTTAGGTGAGTAGGCTATTGTCTTAGATAAGTAGGCTATTGTCTTAGTTGAGTAGGCTATTGTCTTAGATGAGTAGGCTATTGTCTTGGATGAGTAGGCTATTGTCTTAGATGAGTAGGCTATTGTCTTAGATGAGTAGGCTATCATCTTAGGTGAGTAGGCTATTGTCTTAGATGAGTAGGCTATTGTCTTAGATGAGTAGGCTATTGTCTTAGGTGAGTAGGCTATTGTCTTAGATGAGTAGGCTATTGTCTTAGATGAGTAGGCTATTGTCTTAGGTGAGTAGGCTATTGTCTTAGATGAGTAGGCTATTGTCTTAAATGAGTAGGCTATTGTCTTAGGTGAGTAGGCTATTGTCTTAGATGAGTAGGCTATTGTCTTTATAGATGAGTAGGCTATTGTCTTAGGTGAGTAGGCTAAAATTGCTTGTATATGTAGTTTTACTGTGGAATACTTTATTTTCGCTGGAATTAATTTTCGCTGAAAAGGTTTTTTGGGCATTTTTTATGGAATTTATTTTCACTGATTTTTCATGAGTTTAATGTACAATATAGGATAAAAAGTATAATCACTGGATTTTATTTTAACGGAATCATCCCTTCAGCGAAAATAGCGAAAATAAATTCCAAGCGAAAATAAAGTATTCTACAATATTTCAAAATATTTTACAGTATAATCATTAACACGGAAGAACTATCAGTACATACATTGCGCATATTTTTTTTTTCTATCAAATAATAGTGTTTTGCTTATATTGGTGCAGTGGTGTGTGTCCCATGCGATGCATATCATGTGTGAAATAAATCGTCTGTTTACGCAGAATTCGAACATGCCCCGTTAATAAAGTTTGTTTCAATCTGTTTCAAAATATTCATGTATATTCGCCAGTTTTTAAAAAGCTGTTTTAAATTTTGTACATATTGGGTGTGTTTTTGAAAAAGTTTTTTAAAATGTCAGGGGTGGTTTGAATTGAGGGAATGAAAAAATATGCTAGCTTTTTCAATGATTGGTTTACTTTTGGTAATGTATGTGGGGAGTGGAGAAGATAAATTTGAAACAGACAAGTTGACAGTTAACTGATAGAGTTTCTCAAATCACAAAATATAGAGCTTTTTTTCAAAATTTATAATAAATTAAACATCAAATTTTAAATTAACAGATACTGTATTTGTTCTATTAGAAGCGAGTCCCTAATTGAGGCGAACATAAACCAAACATTAACAGTTTCTGTATATTCAATCATTAATGTAAAACTTATTTTAACCATGTATGTGTACCGTACGCCTCTCGCTAATGTAAGTGCATGCGCTACTTTTAGTGGAAATACAATACCAGGGTATGTACATGTACTAAAATTAAAAAATTAAAAACATAATCTTCATAAAAAAATGTTTTTATTTTCATTGAAAAAAAAATGTTTGAGACTGGAGAGTTTTAACTTCACTACAATGTAGCGCTTGTGGACAGACGTTTGGACTGAAAGGGGAATATGGATGTTGATAACAAAACGCAACTTATACATAAATTTATTCAGTCAACCAGATGGGATATTATTTTTCATATTGTTTAATTTTGTATTCAATATTGAAATTGCATTGAAGGCCTGGGCATGTATTAACGTGTTGTACAAACGATATGAATGGTGTTAATCTTATAGGTTGACAGAACTTGCAGCGAACGGATATGATGATGTGAACGCATTGACTGTGTACAGTAAATAGAACAACCCTACAAGTCAATTTGATTAGCCAAGAGGAAATGAAATTTACAATTTAGAAAATGCTGTAACAATATTTTACAATAAATTTATTCGGGTATTGTAACAATGTGTTCTCGTGCAGCATACATTGCCGCTTATCGCAGTACATTGTACGTTGGCGTTTTAGTCTTCTTTTCAAGTGTCAGTATAGTTCAACCGTGGCATATAACGCAAACACTAATTTTTAAGTGACTGCACTATTGTGATTAAAAAACCTCGCACTGTCAAATGATGAGCTGACATCCAAATGGATACTCGCTTTGAGTTGAGAATTAAGATTAAGTGTACTTCACTGTGTTTTTCATGGATGTGGCGTCCCAGTGGATACCGAGACGAGTTAAGTCCAAGCAACTTTAGTTCCATTGCTGATCCGATGTGATTGTATGGCTTTTCCACCCTCATTCAATGTTAACCTTGTTAAGCTAAATTTTTCTTGTTATTCTTACATAAGTAGAATGGCTTTGATTTTCAAAAAAATGTTGTTAGTATGAAACTTTGTGACACGCAACCTGGGAGTTTGTTGAAGAGATCAATTCAATTGCCTAAAGCCTAATAAGTTGTATTCATGATGTCGCACATCGCGCGAACCTTAACTTAAAGGATGTGGTTCCAGTCACTGCCGTAGCCGCAAAGAGCTTATTGCAAACTAGCTTTGAAATGGCTGTTTTTGTTTGTCTTTCCTGGAATCGTAAGACTATTTTTCGTCCTTTTGTGATCCTGCATGAAATCAAACATAAAAACAGGGCAAACAAATGTGTCATTGTGGAGTCATCAAAACAACGTGTCAGATGATTTTTGAGTATTTAAATATTGTGCTTACTGGTATTCACATTTGATGATGGTTAATTTCTGACAACAGATTCTGTGATGTCATACTTTACCCATAATCCATTGCTGAAGAATTAAGATGGTGGACTACATAAATTGATGAAAAGTTGAATATCTAGAGAATGAAAAGTGATATGAAAAAACTGTAAATTGCATGTTCTTGCATTTGTCGAGCTCTTTTATCTGGCAGTATTATGTTGTTAGCCTTGACTTTGGATTGGTATTTGACATTAAACTATAAAAAAAGAGATTCAAGTTCAAAAACAAATATTTGATTTTAGCGGCTGATTTTCAATCCATACTTTACACAGATCTCACAGTGAGTGGAAAATCTACTATTTTTAACTCAATTCTGCCAAAATGGTCATCGCCAATAAGGAATTAAAATTAAAATACCTGGAATTTATTCAATTTGTAATAAATTGTAATACCGGTAGCGGTTGATATAAGGATATTGAGTTTAGGATTACAAGTCTTTTTTTCTAGAAAATAATGGTTGTGATACAGTGAATAACATCTGATTTGTAAGTATAGAACCACTTTTACCATTGGTATATGTACCTACAGTGGAGACATAGCAAATCTTAAATTGTAGACCGGTGTCGTTGGGTGATAAAATTCTACATTCTGACTGTTGGGGCATTTTTTTGTTATCCTGAATTATTTAAAAAAAGGGTTTTAAAAGTGGCAAAGTTTGCAATTTTTCTTATAACATCATGTTCTAGAAAATTGTTGAAAAATGATAGTATTGTGTGTAATGACCAACTTTCTCAAAAATTATGATTTTAGAACTCTGCTTTAGTTTAATTTATTCAATATGATCATCAGAAATGCACAAGTTTATGCAAGCAATAACTTAAAATACAAAACAATACAATACAGTGATGAGCATACCAAAGACTTACTACTTATTTCCAATCGTCCTCAAAAGCCACATACTTTACAACAGCCAGCAAATATATTATTTATAAACATACGCTGCTATTTACACAATAAGGTACAATTTAATAGAAAAAAGATTATTTTGCATTTATAAATTTCTTAAAAAATTTATATAATTTATATAATATTTTGAAGTTACAATTTATTTAATTTTATCTTGTTCAGCTAAGAATTTGTTTACAGCTCTTTTAAAATTTATTTTGTCAATGATTTTTTTTTTGAATGTGTAGGTAATTTGTCCTTTTCTGACATGGCATTATAGAAGGAAGACCTTTTCTTTTTGGTACACAAAAATTAGTAGCACTATGAAATTTCATGAGTTTTGCAGACTTCAACTCTTTGGCACCATCTACAAAATTATTTTGTATAGACTGCCCTGAAGTGTTGATAAAAACATTTTGATGAAAAACTAGAAGCAATATCTAAAACTGTTTGTATGATCCAAAATGAAATTTACTGAAAATCTTACAAAATGTGAAAATATTTGGAGTTGGAGATATTTTTCTTCCCTAAACGGAAGTTTAGCATATTATGATGAATACCAGTCGTTTATGCGTACCTAAATGTTTACTCATTCTTTACATGTCTATACATTCACATCGTGTCTGTATACACATACCATATTTGCACTTTGCCATTTGTGAATTGTAGCTCTATATGCTGTCAAAATAGTTACAGAGAACTTCAAGTCAAGCGTCTCTTGCCAGAAAAAAAATTCTTGTCCAAAAATAATAAATAATTAAAGCAACATAGAAAACAGGAGAAAAAAATGATTGTGTTTCACTTTATGTGATGCAGCATTTGATTTGATTATTTAATTATAAATAAATGAATTCCTAAAAAAAAAACAATTACTGTAAAATGAAAATAATTTTCATGGGTTTAAATCTCACTGATTAAGCATTTCAGGCATATTCAGTGGGTTTTAAATTCATGGTTTTATCATTTAGATAATGTGTTCTATGCTCAATTTTACATATTGGCTTGGTTTTAATTTAGCAAATTTTTCAGTCAGCGAAATAAACAAAATTAAAACCCAGTGAATAATTAACCATTTTACAGTATATGGCTAAAATGCTAAAATAATTTCTAGTATCATGTGCTTGGCTGAAATGCATGTAAATCTATAAATGTACTTTTATTGGTGGTATGCTTCTAATAGTGGAACCATTAGATTCCAGTTCCTGTATGGAGATAAGGCATGAATAAAATCAGATAGTATCCACCTCACCTCAAATACTGTCAGCAAAATCAAATTATATCAATTCGGCTGCAAATTGGCGTCAGATTAGAGACAATTATCTGATATGAACGCTTACTGAATACATTAAAATGCGTTTACGTATCATATGACCAGGTTTATAGTTAAGATAAAAACCTTTTTTTTTTTTTTAGAGTTGTCAGGTTCATTTCTTAGCCATTTCACTGACATTGACAAATTCTCTAACCTTCACCAAACTGTACATATAATTCTGTTTGAGGTTTTTTTTGTCATATATAATTTTTATAATTACTCCATAATACTCATGTATATGTCAAAAAGATATAAAAAAAGGAAATTTACAGCAGTAAACTGGAGTAATAAAAGAAAGGAAAGGAGGGAAAAAAAAAAAAAAAATTTTTTTCTGTTTAAGGTTTACTGACATTATAAACGCTGAAGATATATTAGAGAATTGTTATGCCAAAAATGTAAGTAAGGCCCAGAAAGTGTGTGTCACAGTATTGTTTGGAGAATATGCATTGAAAATCCAATTTTCAAGAAACATGAAAATAAATTTAAAAGCGCCCATTTCAATTACAACTTTAAAATTAAAATATAAAAACAAAACCTGCAATGATTTTGAAAAAGAAATTTAGCGGAAACTTTTATCAATGACATTTAGGCCTTGTATTAATTTCTGTTCCAATAATGTTTTAAATGAACTGTATTTGCTCATACACATACCTCAACTCTAGAGGCGTTTCTATGGTCGAAAATAAGTCGTATTTTTTTGGGGGGGGGGTTTATAAGTTGCATCTATTAGAGATGCGCTTCTAATAGAACAAATACAGTTGTTCAAATGTAAATAAATTTGCACCAATAAATACAATGGCTGGTTTTTGCCGTAGCTCAGTTGAAAAAGAAAAACTTAAAACATGCGTTTGATCAGTAGGTATTCAATACGTACATGACATACTCTATGTTACTGCTTCCAAGTGACTGCACAGTGATCAAGCCTAATTTCATTGGATTGATTCAATTAATATAGCGCTTGTTTTGTATAATGTAGTGATGTACTCTTGAAGGCTGGGATTTACAGTCCAGTTCACACAAGTCAAGCGTTCAGTGAAAGTTGATACATCCTTCAGCAGACTTGCCAGATGCACTCATAAAATAATTGAGTTATGTCAGTGAATAATAGTGTAAAGTGATAAATATAAGTAATATACAATGCTCTTTGGTCTTGATTGTATTATAATAGAATGGCATGGCTTGAACTTCACAGAGACATCGTATCAATTGCCTTGATGCCTAAAGTATTTGCCTTGATGTCCTTTGCGTCAACTTATGATGGCTTTCCATGTTTTTTCCCCCCCTGAAAATGTTGATCACAATCTGTTCATTCATATTTGGTCCATTAACTCAGTCAGTAGGCCATTGTCTTTTATATATAGTACCGTAAAATCTGTATTAGAATCTGCTTCCCTAATAGAAGTTGCACTCATTCTTCTTTAACAATTGAGAACCAAAAATTCACCATTTCTCATATTTGTAGATGCTCTAATAGAAGCCTCATCCCCTCTGTTGTATTGTACCAATTTATTATAAACCGCCGCTTCTAATACAGATTTTACATTTAGTAGTTTCATCTTGTAAGCTATTGTCTTAGAGGAGTACGCTATTGTCTTAGATACATAGACAACTGTCTTATATAGTAGGCCATTGTTTTAGCCTAGGCTATTGTCTTAGATAAGTAGGGCTTTGTTTCCATATTTATGTCATTGTCTTTAATAAATAATGGGGCATTGTCTTAGATGCATAAACCATTGTTTTTAATATGAAGCCCATTGTTTTAGATCGTAGGCTATTGTCTTAAATGAGTAGATCATTGTCTTAGACGAGTAGGTCTTTGTCTTAGGTGAGTATGCTATAGTCTTAGATGACTATGCTATTGTCTTGGATGACTATGCTATTGTCTTGGATGACTATGCTATTGTCTTAGATGAGCAGACTATTGTCTTAGGTGAGTAGGCTATTGTCTTAGGTGAGTAGGCTATTGTCTTAGATGAGCAGGCTATTGTCTTAGATGAGCAGGCTATTGTCTTAGATGAGCAGGCTATTGTCTTAGATGAGTAGGCTATTGTCTTAGATGAGCAGGCTATTGTCTTAGGTGAGTAGGCTATTGTCTTAGGTGAGTAGGCTATTGTCTTAGATGAGCAGGCTATTGTCTTAGATGAGTAGGCTATTGTCTTAGATGAGTAGGCTATTGTCTTAGATGAGTAGGCTATTGTCTTAGATGAGTAGGCTATTGTCTTAGATGAGTAGGCTATTGTCTTAGGTGAGTAGGCTATTGTCTTAGGTGAGTAGGCTATTGTCTTAGATGAGTAGGATATTGTCTTAGATGAGCAGGCTATTGTCTTAGATGAGTAGGCTATTGTCTTAGGTGAGTATGCTATTGTCTTAGGTGAGCAGGCTATTGTCTTAGATGAGCAGGCTATTGTCTTAGATGAGTAGGCTATTGTCTTAGATGAGTAGGCTATTGTCTTAGGTGAGCAGGCTATTGTCTTAGGTGAGTAGGCTATTGTCTTAGGTGAGTAGGCTATTGTCTTAGATGAGTAGGCTATTGTCTTAGATGAGTAGGCTATTGTCTTAGATGAGTAGGCTATTGTCTTAGATGAGTAGGCAATTGTCTTAGATGAGTAGGCAATTGTCTTAGATGAGTAGGCAATTGTCTTAGATGAGTAGGCAATCGTCTTAGATGAGTAGGCTATCGTCTTAGATGAGTAGGCTATCGTCTTAGATGAGTAGGCTATCGTCTTAGATGAGTAGGCTATCGTCTTAGATGAGTAGGCTATTGTCTTAAATGAGTAGGCTATTGTCTTAAATGAGTAGGCTATCGTCTTAGATGAGTAGGCTATCGTCTTAGGTGAGTAGGCAATTGTTTTAGATGAGTAGGCTATTGTCTTAGATGAGTAGGCTATTGTCTCAGATGAGTAGGCTATTGTCTTAGATGAGTAGGCTATTGTCTTAGGGCTATTGTCTTAGATGACTATGCTATTGTCTTAAATGAGCAGGCTGTTGTCTTAGATGAGCAGGCTATTGCCTTATGTGAGTAGGCTATTGTCTTAGGTGAGTAGGCTATTGTCTTAGGTGAGTAGCCAATTATCTTAGGTGAGTAGGCTATTGTCTTAGATGAGTAGGCTATTGTCTTAGATGAGTAGGCTATTGTCTTAGATGAGCAGGCTATTGTCTTAGCTGAGTAGGCTATTGTCTTAAATGAGTAGGTCTTTGTCTTAGGTGAGTAGGCTATTGTCTTAGGTGAGTA